CAACGGCTGGGGTCTAAAATGGGGGGGCGAGGGGGAAAGCTGGCGCTGTAAAGGATTATACGCGTGTTAGAGGCGCCGCCTGCCTGCTGCGCCTCCTACTACGTGCCTCACGTGAGGGGCTTAGGTCCCCCAATGCGGCCTGCTCGCTGTGGGGAAACACTGACCGTTTGGCCACAGAATTGCTGCTATCGCAGCTGTAAGCTCTGCTTGTCGAGCCCCGAGCCTCTGCTGCAGAGTTGTGCTAGTCCCTGCTGGCCAGGGGATTGTGCTTGGCACCAAACCCAGCCCAAATTCAGGCAACCCGAAAGTATGGGAAAGGAAACTGTGGTTATGCAGGCACCTGATTTTCTGGATAATTGTTTGCGTAGTGACTGTGTTTCTGTGTCTGGATCAGGGCGGAAATTCATGAGGTCCTGGAGGAATACAAAGAAGGAGCTGCAAAGTTTATAGGTAATGTGCTTGTGTCTCTGCATGTGTTTCCAGGGAGATGCACTGGGCACCCAAATTTAAAGAAGCTTTGACTGAAGTGGGAACAGTTTATTTGTTCAAGATGATTTGAAAATTCCCCCACCCCACAACTGCAGTGACTGTTTGTGAAGGGAAGACTGTGTGGCATTGAGACATACTGTATGACATTTAAAGTGTCTAATCTAACGAGGATGATGTCCTTACTTTAAAGTCTTAGACCTGAGACATTTTGTCAGTTTAGCCTGTTGAATGTTGCATAGCAGTGAGGGTGATGGAGCACTGGAACAGGCTGCCCAGAGAGGTTGTGGAGTCTCCATCTCTGACGAACTCCAAGGGCCACTTGGCCACAATTCTGTGCCACGTGCTGTAGGTGACCCTGTGTGTGCAGGGGAGTTCGACTAGATGATCCCTAGAGGTCCCTTCCAACCTTAAGGATTCTGTGACTTCCTCAGCACATCAGTTGAGTGGTCAAGTGAATCAGCAGTTGTGTCTGACAAATGATGCTGGGAGGAGTATTAATCAACAAGAAGCATAAACTAGAATCTCAAAGGTCCTCTGTAGCTTGTAGAATTAGAGGGTGTTATTTTACGGTTTGCCTCCTTGCTGCCCTCTCCTCCTTGCGCTTAATAAAGCTGGAGCAAAAATGTGTCTTTGCTGCTGAGCACGCAAGTGAGCAATATCTTTCTTTGTCAGTCCTGCAGAAAAACACATATGCCTATTTGTGGGTGTGCACTTATTCCCTTTTGTGTATTTATATACCAAGTCTTGGCATTAGCTACTTTTTTTTATTCCTAAAACTCTCCTCTGGGTCTTTCTGTTTATTCCCAGGCATGCCGGACACAGTGCTGTACTGCTCCCTGCAAGATCCAGTTGCCCCCTGTCCCTCTGGCTACAACACCAACAAGGTATATCCATTGTGAAGACTTGAAAGACTTCACTCTAAGTTCCTATAAGAAAACTGCCACTCTGCCTCACTCATCTCTGTGGGTGTGCTGAGACTGCCACAAGGTGATGTTCGTGCATTTAGAAAAATAAGCAAAATAACTCCCTACACAAAGAGAAATGTAATTTACAAGCTCGTACCTCCAACTTTATAAAGCTGGACATTTTCTTACTTGGAAGTTTGTTCTCAGGTTTCTCAACAGCCATGGGTCAATTCGGAGAGGAATGAGAGCTCTGGGCTTTGATGTTGTTTTGGTTCATATGTAGTGGTAACAGGAAATGTGCATGTCTTGACTTATGGGTCGAACAAGCTTACAGTGATTACTGTAAGCTGATACTGATAAACAATAAAATCAAACCCTACGTGTCTGTTTTTACAATTCACTAGAGGTCCACAAAGCGGAAGAAAATAACACTTCTACAGAAAAGTGGCTCAGCAACCCAGAAGTAGGTAGTTTTACAGGTCTCTGCCGGTTGCTACCTTCCCCAGCTGCTCCTTTACACCCTCAACATCTAGGAGATAGCAGATAGTGACTGATTAGCATGCTGCTGCAGAACACTATACAGCTGCTGCATTTTGGGGGTCTCTTCCTTTGGGGTTGCTACTTTTTTATGGGAGACTTATGGAAATGTGATTACAGATTTTTATCTGTCTCTCTGTCTGTCTCTGTCTTATTCCAATTTAGTTAAAATTAATTGGTGAGGGCCAAATGTAATAGGAGAGATGGATGGACTGTCATACATTGTAGTTGCGCAATCCTTTTGACTGGTATCCTGAGAAAACAAAGAAATAGGTGATTCTTGATAAATAATTGTTTAATCTGGTCTCTGGCCTATGCCAAGAGAATTCGTTTAAACTCTCAACCTACAAAAAAGTCCCTATAACACTTTTATATTTCTGATTTGTTTAAAACCCTTTCCCAACTTAAATCACTAATGGGTTTGCAAACACAAAGAACTAGCTTCTGAATGACTCAAGCCCAGACTTAAAGTTTTGCACCACAGTGTCACAAGACTAACAGAAATGTACCAGAAGGAGCTGTCATGCTGCACATGCAGAGAATAGGATGAAAGATGGTAGCTTCTGAATTCCAGTAAGTGAATTGCTAGTCCAGATGTGTTCATCTAACTTAACCACCATGCACAATTGCTTTTGTCTAGCTCTAATATGGGGATAATGATGGAAGATGGAACCCATATCTGTGCACAAAATAGAAAGCCTGTGGAGAAACTTAATTTTTTTTTTACATTTCCAAAGAATATCTGCTATTTTTTAGCTTGATGGATTTAGAGGTTGTATGTTTCTTATCCACACAGTATTCCAGTCTTTTCTGGAGTGATTGGATTTGAGATCGAAAATAATACTATTTGCTTAGCTCAAACTGTGTAATGTGCTTCTGTTTTTCCCTGTGCGTCTGTGTGCTTTAAATGCATGCAGTTACCTATTCATGCAGATTATGAGGCTTCACTGCTCAGGAGAGGAATTAGTTCATTCCTTCTGGCATTTTTGTGGCATAGTGTTTCTGTAGACAGAATATTAGTCCGAATATTCTTCTTGCAGCCAGTCTTTGTGGCCGCTCATAGAGTGACAATACAAGTTTGAGAGGAATTAAATATTTATTGCTTTTAGCTTCTACTAATTTGGGCTATCATAGGCCAGGTGTACTCTCTTGACTCCCCAACACCCTTAAGTAGTCATTGTGTGTGAAAGGGGAGATGCCCAAAGGGAAAAAGGGAGAATCACAGAATGGTTGTGGTTGGAAGGGACCTCTAGAGATCATCTAGTCCAACCCCGCCCTGCTCAAGCAGAGACAGTTAGAGTACCTAGAGCCACAGGGTGGCATCCAGGCGGGGTTGGAAGATCTCCAGAAAAGGAGACTCCACAACCTCTCTGGGCAGCCTGTTCCAGGGCTCTGTCACCCTCACAGTAAAGAAATTCTTCCTCACATGCAGATTAAACTTCCTATGTTTCAACTTACACCCATTGCCCCCTCGTCCTATGACTGGCCACCACAGAGAAAAGTTTGGCTCCATCCTCCCTACATTCACTCCTAAGGTACTTGAACATGTTGATCAGATCCCCTCTGAATCATCTCCAGGCTAAACAGGCCAGCTCGCTTAGTCTTTCCTCATACAATAGATGTTCCAGTCCCTTAATCATCTTTGTCGCTCAGAGAGAAGTGTGTGTGTGTAATGGTTTCATCAAAGAACACCCCAGAAATCACAAATCAGCCACTAATCTCTTTCCTTTTGCCAAGGGCTCCTGGAGAGCTTATTCCAGTGTATTATATTTCTGTGTCTGGTGTTTTAGTAGACCTCTCCTGTCTTTTGACCCTCAAGGTCTGTCAACCTTTGCCACAAACTTTCATCCCTGTTCTTCCTTGACAGGCAGTGTCCCTGTGGGGGACTTCAGGACGCATGGAAGTGACAGCTTCTAAGTTCATGGACATGCAACGTGCCATCAAGCCAGATTGGTTTCAGTGCATCTCTGATGGAGACACCATTTCTGGGGAAGTCGGAAGGAAACGAGCCAAGAAATCTGTGGATAGGTCTCTTTCCTTCCTGGATGAATGCCTCCAGCTACTGGAGAAATCACCGGTAAGGACCTGAAAATATCTGTAGGAGCTGCAAGGAAGCTGCTTTTCGATCTGTATTGCACCCCGGGCCAGCTCAAGGATGTGATTTAGTAAGAAATGTTGTCACACGTTATCAGGGGATGCCTAGCATCCAGTCTTGGTGGAGGCATCAGTAGCACAGCGCCCTCATTTTCTGCCACTTTTTTCCCCTACCCCTTGTCTCCTGCTGCACAGTACATTTCTCTATCAGTTGAGAGGTGCTGCATGTTATTTTATTCTGCTTTTGGATTCAAGGGGATGTTTTTCACTTACCTTCGTGCCACATACCTGACCAAAGCAGGATCTTATTCTGATGGAGAGAACTCATGCTCTGACACTTTAGAGATTTGATTTGCTCTAAGTATCCCCAGTAGCAGGTGCGAGGGGCTTGCCAGGGCTTGCCAGTGCTGTTCCTTCTTTCCTCCAGCAGTGCTGAGATATCATTCCCTTCTGATGAAAGGGGACATATCTGGGTCTGTAGTGACAAGGAGCGTGTGTGTGACTGAAACTATATTATTATCCCTTGAAAAGCAATTCGTTGTGAGCCCTGGTGTCTGGCAGCCTGGCTAATAGAACCTGCTTTGCATTCTGCTGAAGCACCTTGTGTTCCTGTAGTGCTGAGAGACGTTGACAAAGGGCAACATTCAAAGATGATCTGTAGTTACTGCCTTCTGTAGGGAGGTGGGCAGAACAATGCAAAATTCTCAGGGGTTTAATTAAATCTCAGGGATTTAATGTCAGGAGCAGAGTCTGATCTGTCTTAATGCCATTTCTGTGTTACACCTGGACTTCACTGTTTTGTGTGGAGGCTCATGCTACTTGGGGTGAAACACTGTAGCTCTGAAAGTTTCCGTGGAAAGTGAGGTTTAAGGAAGTGAGGAGATGCTTTTGGGTGCCTGTGGCAGTGTGTTCTCTAACACTTGTAGCTTTCTTCTGGACCAGGAGCTACAAGGAAGCGTAATGATTGGGGCAATTGAAGGTGGAGATGTCTTGGAGGAGAGGCTTCGGTCGGCCAGGGAGACGGCCAAGCGGCCCGTGGGCGGATTTCTGCTAGATGGCTTCCAGGGACATGCCATGGCCAAGGAGACCAAGTTGAATCTGATAGCTTCTGTCACCGCAGAGCTGCCAGAGGACAAACCGAGGTGAGTTACGGAGTGACATGCCAAATCATCCATCATTCGAGTATATGAGGAGACAGTGCTGTAGGAAATAGCCATTCTCATGCACAGCACCATGCAAGTGCCAGGTTGTGTGGCCTCTGCCACTTCAGGCTGCAGACTTCAGCCCTCGTTTCAGTTTTTAGCTGTAAACAGCACTGACCTGTGCTCCCAGTGTGGATGTAAGTATTCCTCATGTTTGAATTCAGAGTGTGTGCTCTGTTTAGATGGGCATAGTATGTTATTTGTAGTATATTTTCTGAGTGGTTGTTAGTGCCCATCTGATCCGTACCAGCGCCTGGACAGTTGGAACAGTATTTAACTCTTACAGATGATTGATAGCAACTGAAAACTTCCCAAAAAAAAGAAAAAAAAAGTGTGCTAATGACTGCTAGTGGTTCAGAGGTGGGAGAATTGTTAGCATTGGGTTAAGCTTCCTGGCTTTGTGTTCAGGATTGCTCTTGCTGTTTCTGTTACTACTGTTCTTGGATAGGTGTTTTTCTCTCCATCTCTTGGAGAGACTGACTTGTCCTCAGTTTTCTCTCTGTAGGTGTGCTGCCCTCTGCTAGCTGAGCACTGTTCCAGCTTAATAGTGTTAAAAAGGAAATTAAATTCCAAAGCATGTGTCTGATGTTCCCTTTTGTTCATCCTTACCAGCGCCTGGAGTTTGAATTTTCCTGACAACTAGGAGGTTTGCTGTGTTTCTGCATCTTGTCTAACTGAGCCCCTTTAGAAAGGTCCGCCTAGGAGCATTAGAGGCCAGTCTGCTCAGCTGACCCCAGTGGCTACCAGTGCATCTGCCTCATCTGTCAAATATTTTGCTTGTCTGACTAAGGCAAGTGTTCCTGACCTCTCTGTAAGGAGAAAGCTGGTTAGCCTTACGGGATCTTGCACAGCCTTACGTGCATTTCAGACAGCTTGCTCTCATAAATTGCCCAGGCTGCTTTGGCTGGAGAAGCTATTTTGCAACTGTGTTCTGCCCCAGTGTGGAAATCTTCAGAAGACAAAAAAAATGTATTTTACCCAAGAAATGGCTGCTTTGATGGTGAAATGATTGTATGAAAGTGTTTTTTACAGTTCTTTCAGATCTCAAGATACTGAAGCCTTGCGGTAGAATTATTTTTGACTCCAGTAGCAGCAAAACATTTGCAAGTTTGAATCTTTGTCCTTATCTTTAGAAATACAAGTTTTATTCAGGGTTTTGATCATATGTGCAGAGCTACTCTCTTTAACTATTTAGTATCATTTTGGTCCTTCTGTGGGAAAATGAAACATGAGAAACTCATGCTGTAAATCTTCTCCCATCCATGCTGTGTGCTCATCAGTTTAATGGGGGAACTTAGAAAAGTGACTGAAAATGGCATCTTGTGACTTCATTTATCAGCCCCTGTGTATTTTGCTTATTATCTGTTTAGATCATTGTCCTACATTAGCTTTTATTGCTTGCAGCACAGCCACACACCTGTGGGAGAGAAGGTGCTGCTCTGTTCTTTCCTGCTTCACCCATCTTTGGGGAAGCTGTCAGCAAAATTGGGCTTAAAGCAGGGGCTCTGTTAAAAGACGATCCAGCTGGGCTCCTCTTGGCCCTTAATGCCACGTCCCAGAAGATGTTGCATCCCAGGCTACTGGGTAAATCATTTACTCTGGAGAGTTGGAGGCATTATTTGGAGAATAAAGGACACCAATATGAGTGGAAAGGTGCGTTTGAGCATGTAGTCTGGAGAGAGGCAGGAAGAAACAAGGCAAGGAAGCTTTTCCTTTTCCAAAATCATTTCTCAATAATGCATCCTCCTCCAGGCAGGCCTCCAAGTTTTGTCCAATATGGTTGTCGCCTGAAACGCTTTTGACCTGCCATTTACTGCTACTCATAATGAAGTCTAAAACTCTGCTAACAGCTACCAATCCCTGTATCTGGAAACTGGTAGTCACTACAGGGGCAAACATAACTAAGGTGTGTTAGGTGAATCTTGAACTCGAACACATTTATGTGGGTGTAAAAGAAACTAAATCACTTCACACAGAATGAGTACAATGAGGTTTTCCTTGGTAAATGATGGGTTAGTGCTGTAGTGCTGTCTGCCAAGATGGGGGAATAAACACTTGCCGTCTGCTGGGTAAACTGATGGTGGGAAATGGAAGTGATCAGCAATCTGAGTGATCGTTGTTGAATCCAGCACAAGTACGTATGCTGGATATGTATCTTTTCCTTGAGATACCAGCTTGTTTCTACCCAGAATGCTTTAATTCTCTTTGGTGCTTCTCTTACAGAATCATCCATGGGATAGGCAAACCAGATGAGGTGCTTGAGTGTATAGAAAGAGGAGTGGACATTTTTGAGAGCTTCTTCCCCTTCCAGGTAACAGAGCGAGGCTGTGCCTTGTCTTTCAGCTATGACTGCCACCCCAATCCTGAAGCAGCAGGTAAGGTTCTCGGTGGTCTTTAAGTGCTCAGTATAGTCCTGACTGAATCAGCTGGTTTTGTGCTAAGCGTAGTTGATGCTTTAGAAGAATCTTCTGTTGTAGTGGTTGACTTTTGTCCTTGAAATCAAGTGCGGCAACAACTGCAAAAATGGATTACCTCTGTCAAGTGGTGTTCTTGAAGGGTGCATATTTTGGGAGGAAAGAGAAGAGAAGCTGAAGAGAATTTGAGGCCTCAGTCTGAAATCTGAGTTTTTGGTTAGCCAAAATATACTTACTTCTCAAATGCTTCTTGAACAGAGGTATTTATGGGCTTAACTGCATTTATCAACTCCCAACAATCTGCTTGTTTGACACAATTGGCCAACTTTCTGTTACCCTTAGCAGTGAAAGCTGGACCTATTTAAGTGGGGAATCCAAGATACCTGGTGCTTAGAACTGCCTGAATCTGTTTTAATAACATATTTTTGAAATTCCTTCCCCTTTCTAGCTCACTAAAGTTAGGAGTCCTGCTTCTTTGGACAGCTTTCTTCTTGTACTTATGTTTATTAGTTACTATCAGAACAATGATACGATGTTTATAATTCATTATGATATAAAATAGATGCTTAAATGAGACTTGTCAAATGTGTTTCAAGCACATCTCTTCATCTATTTGTGGACTTAAGTTTACATTTTGCATTCCAGGTAGACCCTAGTGCCTTTTTGTGCTTGGATCACTCAAAGTCAGCTGAACAGGATAGAACAACCTGTTTCTTTGCGCTCGACACCCCTTGTAAAAAAAAGAAAAAAAAAAAACAAAAAAACTTTTTGGTGTTCTTTACCTTGTTTTAAAAACCTTATTTTTAAAAGTCTCACCTTATTTTTAAAATAAGAATTCTAGTTTTAAAACTAGACATAGGAACCATATTTGTTCTGTGTCTGTGTAACACTCAATAGATTGTGTAACGCTCAGTAGTAGTATTGCTGTGCAAACAGCAATAATATTAATGTTTCCAGAGGTATCCCCTACTTAAGAACAAGCCTAAAACAATGCAAACCTGCAAAATTATGGGATGACTTTTTTAAAAAAAATTAAGCTAGACTAGTGGAAAGGCAGATGTGGAATCTATATCTTCTGCATCAGGGCTACCAGCCTCATGATATCAGCTGTTCAAAAAAAAAAAAAAAAAATCAATCTCAGCCTGATCACAGCATGGGAAGTAGAATGACTGAATACAGATGAGTTGCCCATCTTTTCTAACAAAGTCTCAAGAAAATCAAAAATCTGTTCAGGTGGTTGCATTCTTTTTAGTATGAAGTTCAGGTTGAAAATATTTTTGGTATTTTCTTTTGATATTTTGATATTTGTTGGTATTTTTTGATATTCAGCTCAGCAGAGAGCAAAAAGTTGTTCTACTGTTTCACTTCTAGCTCCTAGGTTTAGTGGATCAGTTTCCCCTTGTCTCTTTCC